TCTTTTAAATTTGTTAATAATTAACAAAAAAATAAATAAATTTAAAAAAATCTTCTTGTAAAATGATATTATAGAACCAGTACTACAATATTACAAAAAGATTTTTTACTTAAACATACTAGATCTGAATTTATTTACTTCTAAAGTTGTTACATTTTAATAGTAATACCAGAATTTGGCCACTATATTTAATATAATAATTTACCAAACATAATAACGATTTAGACATCTGGTTACCTTATGATCATATTTGCGTATATGATATGTATGCATACATGCATAATTATTCTTTTCTTGACAATTGCTTGTTTACAAGTAGTAATTAAACCCATATAAAAAAATGTCAGGTTACTCAGATAAAATCTATATAAGTTAAAAAATAATCAATTTCGATTAAGTAAAATCTATGTTTTAAATATAGCACATTTTTAATAAACAGACTGATGTCAATAGAAATCAGGCAGATTATCTGCCGATTCCTATTGATTGCTGCCTAAATGTCTTTATGGCAGTTGTAGAAGGTGTGACGAGAATGAGATTCTAAATTATTATAAATTATGATTTTTAATTAGTGATGTTTAAATTAATTGAAATCTTTAAATTTTTAGTGAATTAAAAAACCCGCTGATTTTCTTTTATTTTACATGACAGTATGACCTCATATCCATTAGAAGATTTTTTAATTAACCTTTTCAGTTCAGTATTCTTTTACTGACAATTACTTCATAAATACCACATTTCACCGACAATTATTCATCAACAGGCTTATTTTACCTACAGTCTATTTATTGAATTCATTTCACCAACAAGTTTTTTTTTATAACTTTAACTTTAATTCTAATCTAACTCTAATAATATTGACCAGAATTACTTTTTCTATAAAATGAGCTTCGGTGAAATAAACTGTCAGGAGAAATGAACTTGCCGGTAAATAATTGTCAGTGAAATGTAGTGTCTACAAAGTGATTTGTCAAGGAGTTGATTGGATAGCTTAATATGCGATAATGTAAGTTTTAAAAAAAATTTCAAGAACTTATTGAGTGAACTAAATTCTTAAAACAGTTTATAGATACTTCATGGGATTTATATTTAAGAATATATTCGTGCAGACTTTTACTATGTCAATACTTTGAGAATAAAATATGATCAACTCACCGACAATTACTTCGTAAACACCACATTTCACTGACAATCATTTACTGGCAATTATATTTATTCTGGTTAATATCATTAAGGTTAGGTTAAAATTAGAGTTAGTGTTAGTTATAAAAAAAAACTTGTTGGTGAAATAAATTTCAGTAAAATAAACTGTGGGTAAAATGAACATGTCAATAAATAGTTGCCGGTGAAATGCGGTATCTGTGAAATTATTGTCAGTGAAATATTTGTTTCTGTGTTTTGGATCATTCCATATATCTTAAGCTTGCTATTGTTCAATTAATAAATACGTATACATCAGACATTTAATAGTTCACATGTTAAATTTTAAATTTTAAATTTTAAACTAATTAATAATTAAATAATTAAAATAAATAATTAAATACAAGATTTTAGAATATGCATTATAATTGCAATTTATTTATTATTGTTACATGGTATTACAATTCAATATTCTCAGAAATTTTTCAGTGTGATTTATATTTTTTTACTGCAAATTCAGTAGCAGAAGGTGTTAAACCTTTCCTATATGCATCCATATACCTCCATGCTTTTCTTGCGAACTTTCTAATTGTTATAATATCAACGAAATCAAGAGCCTCTGGCACAGTTTTTCTTAATCCTCGAAAAGTATAATCACAGTGGCTTCTTGTATATCTTTTTACCGCCCCCCAATAATATTCAATATAGTTTAATTCCAGATGAAATTTAGGATAGAAAAAAATTTTATGACCACATTCAAGCACAATTTCCTCAAGAATACTTTTCTGTTCCATGAAGTCTGGCTGTATCACTAATTTTTTCATGTTGCAACATATTTCCTCATCTTTTGAGCACTTAACACATTTGCCTCTTAATCACTCATTCCATATTCTCCTTTCTATCATTACTTCTTTAATTCCTTTTGGTTGTCCTCTTTTTTTTCATCTTGGTGATTTAACAGAAAGACCATTTCTTGAGATATACTATTAGAAAATCGACCAGGGCGCAGTTTCAGTTGTTTACCACCATAGCTGACATTCATATTTCTTGCTATTAGTGCATCCTCAGCAAAAGCTCCATGGTTGGTACTATTATCGAATCCAAAGACAAATATCATATTCGGAAGTGCAATTTCCAAAATATCGATCGTTCATTTAAGTTGCTTAGCTAGCAATTTAACATTTCAATAACCTTCGTAGTTTGCGCCAATTTCCAACAACTCCGTAATGTAACATTTTGAAATTTTGGGATGGGCTGCATGTTGTTCTTCAGTTAAATGAACTTGACTTAGCGGTTCATATAAAAATTCACTAACATGAATGCCCCTGCCTTGTCCTTTTGGACGCAGTTTGTGTTCGCCTTAATAAAAGTGATGTAAGGTTAGTTAGCTAGCAAATAAAAAATAAATCTAATCTTTAATGATTCTAATATATATACCTTCGGGCCTCCATCCCGTTTTCTCATCATCATTTGTAGACAATGTCATTTCATTATGTGTTATTACACAATGTCGCTTTTCTCCAAGAGGAATATCCTTCTCTAGTAGCTTTGTAAGATCTTCGTCACAATATTCAAGAAGAATGGGTTCCAATTCTTTCATCATCGGCAAAAAAATCGTTTGTCTATATTGCACTACATCCTCTTGCTTGTGTCCATCTACATAGATATCCTTTCTTCATTCTTTATATTCCCATCCAAGTTTTCTAAGCCATATCCAAGCTGTTTTCTCACATATGGTTGTCTTTGTTTCAATACCTAAAGACAGAAATACTTCATTCTCAACGTAGTTCTTTAAAACTTTAGAATTTATACTAAACTTGTGACTTCTTAGATACGACATTACTGTTTAAAGTGTGATAATTGTAAGTTACAACAAAAAATTAAAAATTATAGCCAAAATCGCTATAAAAAAATATATACCTTCATGGATATTCTCTCATCATCAAGAAGGCTTGATACTTTCGCGAATTTACTACGGTTATCTTTTGGAAGGCTTCACCACTTTATCCAATTTTGAGCCCATGCACCAATACATCATGCTTTATAATTGCCCCATTCTAACGAACTAGCAATTGTTGTGCTTGCACTTATTCTAGTCTGACCCTGGTATCTTAAGCGTAAATATTATAATGACGCTTGCAAACGAACCCTTACACCTTTATCCATTTGATTATTATCCTTTTTTAACATCCCATCTAACTCCTCAATTGCCAACCTTATTTTTGTCTTCTCATTAATATCTATTTTTTCTAATACATCTGCTGTTGATCCCACCTCTATTAATTCCATTTCTGTTGATCCCATCTCTATTAATTCCATTTCCGTTGATTCCATTCCTGTTGATTCCACTTCCATTGATTCCACTTCCATTGCAGTATGTAATTCTGTTGATGATTTGTATGTAGAAGCCAAACCAATATTAGAATATGTTAAAGCAGAGACAAAGTAGGCTGTGATGGATTGAGTATTTTGTGCAGCCTTCTTTAGCTCCGTTCTTTTGCATCTCTAAGTTCTTTTAGAACTTCCAATGTATGCTAAAGGCCTACTCAAGAGTTTCCAAATATCTTTGTTTTTACTAGCCGTTAGTAAAATGGAAAAATAATCGGATACTCTTTCATCAATGTTCTAATCTGACCAAACCAGATTTTCATAATCTGATTGTTCTTGTAGTTTCTTTGTATGCTTCTTGGCCCTAGCAGCTTTAAGTTGCTGCTTTCTCTTGTTTGGCCGAGTAATGGTGGTAAAATGTAATAATTGAAGTCAAATTGTAATTATCCCAATCAAAATTTTGTGATCGGGAATAAATTGGTTATTAATTATCAAATAGTTCAAATAGCCTTTTTAATTTTTAATCTTTTTTTTAATTTTTTTGTTTTTTTTTTGTT